TTTGTGTATATATGTAAGCGGCTGGTGGAGTTTTGTGTGTATATGTAAGCGGCTGGTGGAGTCTTGTGTGTACATGTAAGCGGCTGGTGGAGTCCTGTGTGTATATGTAAGCGGCTGGCAGCGGCCAACTAGATACTAGTACGAATTGCGCAAGTTCTGTCCGTGTGGACTGTATTTGCATGAGAACATCGTCTGGTTGGCAAGGGGGTGTACCGCGCATGTTGGTTCTCTCTACGTTGTGTGCCTGTCTGATGTGTGCATCACAGGAGTGTGGCTATACCGTACAGTAGTGCGCGTGGCTCACAAATCCGTCATGCGCAAGCAGATCTTGCTGGCCTGTGGGAGGTCTGACAATCGCAAGCATAGATTTTTTCGGGGAATTTTGCTGGTGACTAGTTTATAAACCTGGGCACAAATTTAAGCATTAAATATGATACAATTGTTTTCTTAACCTCATTTGCGATCCTATAATTTTTTTTGGTCTTTGCATCCACCTTGTGTTTTTGGGTTATAGCTTACCCGCTCTTACGGCTCACCCACAGTAACCTTCGCACCCCTTCCAGACTCCAAATTAGCCACGCCCACACAAACCCCAGCCGTCGCAAACTCTGTCGTAAATGACGAAGCATGTCGCAATTGCGGGCTGACTATGCCCATCACCAGACTTGTCTCACACGAGCGGCACTGTAAGAACAACACGTATTCGTGTCCCACGTGTGATGTCAAGCTGCCCCTAGACAGCCGAGAATGGCACGAAGTCTTCATGCACACACGCACAACGTGTGTGTGCAGCGCAGAGCTCACACATCACGCTTTGCTGAACGCGCACGTGCGCATGGAGTGCTCAAAGAGGTACGTAAAAGTTGTTGGGCTGGTCAAGTTTGTCGGTAGGGCGTGCTCGTATGGCTTGGTGGTGCTTTTGAGTGTTTTATATAAACCGGTGCGTGTCTGCTGTTCAGATGTGATTGTAACTGGCAAAAACAAGGTTTGTGTGGATGGTTTTCCACGGGCGGTTTTGTTTTCACATGGTTCCGTATGGTTAGGATATATGTAGGTGCGTTTGTATTACTCTGCACCCGTCGCATTTGTTTTTTCTTGTTTGTACCTGAATTGGGACTTCCGAGTTGTGTTTTCGAAGCTATCAAATACAAAAATCGTCACAATTTAAAGCGGACTGGTCTCAATTAGATCCCGCCGTACGGTAGAGGGGGTTGACCCCCCTATTGCATCTACTCTTCCGATACTCACCCTCCAAGCGTCTGCGCCATGCCACACCTTCACAGGATGATCCAATGTTCCAATCTGGGTTGTCTGTTGTTAACCCCAGCGTACCGTCACACCGAGCATCTGCGCGAGTGTGGGTCGGTCACCATCGCATGTCCTATCTGTATAGAGAACGTCTGCAGATCAGCAGCCGTATTCCATTTCGAGGCCATGCACGGCATTCAGGCGGAGCAACTACGAAGTGGTATGTGTGTTATATAACCTGTGTGGGAACAAGGACGCTTGCTCCCGGCTGACGGTGTGTTACGTCGGTGTGCTAGCCTACTCGATGAATGGTATATTAATTATCACAGATAGCACCCATCTGAGCGACATGCTTCCCCATAATTGGCTTGCTTGTCCGTTGCGTCACTTCGTCTGACTTCTCCGTCCGTACCTCTTTTGCAGGCGTGCCACTCGAAGATCAAGTGGCCGCCCTTATTGCAGCAGGGAAGGTGTATGATTTCTAAGAGATGCTCGGTGTAGCATACGCACCACGCTCTCTGCAGTACAATAGATGTAATAGTGCGAAAGTATGTTTCGTAAGATTCGGGTTACTCGGTGCGTCGTGGGGGAAACTCGACTTTGCACGGTTTCGGCATTTGACCTTTAGAGTCCACAAACTGTATTCGAGGCCCTGCAAAATGGACTCAATGAGAGGTTCGAACCTAAATTGCGTTAAATATAGGAAAACCCTAAATTGCAACCCGATTTTGGGACATGTAATGCGCTTTGACTTATAAAAAAGGTGCTATCAAACACTTATTAAGTATATTGTGAAAGGCTACCAAATTTTTTCTTCTTTATTAGAGAGTTTGAACGCGCTGAATGTATATGGCAAATGTACAATGTACACGTGCATGCATGTAGGTAGGTATGTATGTATGTATGTATGTATATATATCCTATATATAGATATACATATATATATATATATATATATATATATATATATATATATATATATATATATATATATATATATATATATATATATATATATATACTATATATACTATATACTAGTATAT